ATCTCACTCCTGGCAACTTTTTCCTCATTCCAAAAATAAAAAGCTACTTGAAAGAAACAAAATTTCCAGACGTCCCTGAAATCCAAGAGAATGTGACGAAAATGCTGTTCGCTACAGTGGCGTAGCTAGAGTAAACGTCATCCGGGGCGGTCCGCTCAAATGTCACCCCAATGATCCCGATTCACCCTATGCTGAATGGTTACCTGTAGCTAAATTTTCATACATGCTCTACCTCTACTTTACTCTACTGACCGGTACGTTACTGTTTACATGTATGATCCAAGACAAAATCCAATACCACAAAATAATCAGTTCAAATCAAAAGATTTTTAAAATGCAACTGTTCACTTTCAGAACAACTAAATACAAAACACGGCAATACACAAAAGAATGACATTCGATACTATGGTCTTAGAATGAATGTTTTCTTGTTTTCATTGTGGCAAACTGGTCAATGACATCGTCAAAATTTGTTTGTCTTGTAAGCTCGTTTTCAATAGACAGCACAGCTAGATCCGACAGTCTCGACTGGCTCATGGTTGACGTAATTTTCTGTTGCTAATTTTTTGTTTTTCTTTATGCAAGTAAAATAAATTACATTGAGCAGATCAGTACGACAATTTCAGTGATTTCGCAGCTCAGTGTTGCCAACATTGTGTGAAAATTTTGTGTAAATTGATTGGACGGTTTTTGGAATATTAGAAAAAAACTTAGCTCGATAATAATTTGACACGCAGGGTACATCGTATTTTGATGTTATTATGATTTTAGTTTTAGTGATAATTTAAAAACAATAAATATTTATCTTTAGTACCAATAATGGAAAATTAAGTTAAAAATTTAAAAGAATCGTTTTTGGAATCGGAAAATAGGCACAAATTTTTCCGATTTCGATAATGTTTCCGATACCCACAAAAGTTTCGATTTTTCCGATTAATCGTCCCAACACTAGTAGATATATTCAAAAGTATATCGCTCACTCAATGGAAAATTGTATCTCAGCGAATTGATACACAGGCAAGACTGAAATTGTTGCACTTTTGGCTTCGTATTTCGCTTTGTTGTTATTAATGATGCAGAGTTAAAACACCATATCATCCGATAAAATGTTACAACAATGTCTCTTGTTAGTAACCAAGATTGTAACAACTGAAACACATGAAAGCTGAAAACATTGCTATTTTTCCTACTCACAAATTTCCCGACAATTTATTAGAAAATTTCTGACGGGGGGACAAAACTGGGGGGTCATAAATTTTTCTGGGGTGGGGGGTCATATGCCCGCCTGCGAAACCCTGTGTCTCCACCACTGTTTTCAGACTATTTTTGGCACCTTAGCCTGGTTGAAAAATTTTGTTGGGGGTAACATTGTGTCACCCCTCCTGTTCTGGCACTCGGGGCGGTTTGCCCCCTCGCCCCCCCTAGCTACTCCACTGGTTCGCTTTCCCAAGAAACGAGTACCAGGAAGGATTCCATCAATGGAAATGACGCTGGATGTAGTTTCAAAAGGAGACTACTTTGAAAGAGATTAAATGCTGAATTGATATGTGCTGTAGTTTTTTTTGTTTTTTTTAATGTGTTTTTTTTTTTTTTTACGAGTTCCGATAATTTTTGAACAGACGTCTTATGTATAAGACGTCAAAGTAAGGAACAATTTTTCTTTTTTTAATGTTCCCCATTCCAGAATAAAATAAATGATTAATTTCTCAGTAAAAGACTTATATTTCCCGGCGAGAAACAATTGATCGTCGATGTCTTCCTGACAAAAATCGATGAAAAGAACGATCTTTATCAGGAAAGTCTGTGTCAGCTTTTGAGGTCGGCGGCAAATGCTATACGAGTCATGATGGTACATAATTGAGAAATTAGTCCTGATTAAATTAAGAATTGTTTTATAAGTAGAAAATAACAATAATTGCTTGATTTATTTCTCAATAAAATATTTATTTTTTTCCAACGTATAAATCTACTTTTGAGATATCTTGTACACACACAAAGACACATACAAGCATACATATATGTGTGTGTATGTGTGCGCACGTGTGCGTGCGTATGTGTTTTTAAAGAATTAATGCATTTTTATTTATTAATCCGACGAATTATTATGACTTTAAATGTTATTCTCAGTAGACGCTTGGTTTATTCTAAACAATATTTTATTTTGGCTACCGGCTTGACCATTCGAAAAAATATTATTAAAGAATAATGTCCACTCCAGCAAGATTCGACTATGCGCTTTCCTACTCCTTTGAAGAGGGGTACCTTTATGGCTGATAGAACCTTGCTTAATTATGAAGCTCTTTTTAACGGAGTGGTCAAAAGTACGTTGTGTCAAGCAACGGTTTTTCTTCAAAAGGGAGACGTAGGTTCAAATCTTGCCGGGGGGCGATTTTTTTAATAAAACTTCTAAATGTTGAGGTCAGTAGACGAAATAAAATAATGTTTAAAATAAAGAGAGCGCCTTATACACTTAGAATAACGTTTAAAATATATATATATATATATATATATATATATATATATATATATATATATATATATATATATACTATACTCGTCTCGAAAAAACCTTCGAATTTTTGATTTGCTAATAATCAAATCAATCTCGAGGGAAAGAAAAGGTTTTAAAAAAGAAAGAGCTACAAACATGAAAGTCTGTCGAAAAAATCGCACAGATACAGGTCTGAAGTCCAAAGAAAAAACTCCGATACGAGTAAACAACTAACTAACAAAAGAGCTCAATACAACCGTAGAGCAGACCTTGATAAACCTAGTGAGCCAGACAAACCTACCTAGGTTTCACCTAAGCGGATCGTCAGGGAAAGCCAGCTTAGGTGAAACCTGGGTAGGTTTGTCTGGTTCATTAGGTTTGACTATATATATATATATATATATATATATATATATATATATATATATATATATATATAGGAACAGGTTATAGTAGTTTCAACGATAGAAAAGTGTGTGTATTAAAAGAGGAGAGAACCGCAAACGTTTTTGGTTGTAATGTGGATTTTTCTAAAAATAGTATGCTTTATTTTCCATAATTTTGCTACACGGGTTTCTGGTTTCGCGACCGTCATCAGCCAAAGGGTGGAGATTAGATTTCCACATATTATTAAAAATAATTAATTTTTTCTTTTTTTTTCTTATGTTTTCCGATGTTAAATATTCTCGATATGAGAAATTCTCTTTTTTGTGTGTTAGTGGGCCAAATGTCTTTCTAATACCTGGCCACCTGTATTCGTATATAGCCAATCCCTATTTCAAACTCTCGTTCAGGCACATTTGTGTTTGTTCAACACCCACAAAGCCAACCTGTGGTTTATACTGCAACTATGCTGAGTAGATCTTAGTTACAGTTTCTGGGGGAGAGCGTGTTATCTAGAATGACCAACAATCTGAACAACGCCAGCACACTGAAACCCTCGGTCACGATGACTTGTGACTTCGTGCTAGCACAGCTATCGACGGCCCCAAGTGTTACGTCTATCAAATTTCACTGACATGGCTTGGGTCAACCCGTGGTACGGTTTTCAGACACTTTCCAAAGGTGCCGCACGCTGGGGTCGTCCCCACTCCAGGCCGATAACATCAGAAAGTCTCCTTCCTGACAAATCGACCGTGGTCGGATTCAAATATATATATATATATGTGTGTGTGTATGTGTGTGTGTAGGTAGGTAGGTAGGTAGGTATATATATATATATATATATATATACACATACACACCCACACATACACACAATCGTAGGCCAACCGCAGACGAGATGGTAGCATAGTATGTGCTACGCCAAGGTTAGTTTCACATTTGCAAGCACAGATATGAAGAGATGGGCACTGATAATTAAAGCATCCCATAATGCAACTTAAGAGTTTGTTTCGCCCAACACCGCAAACTGCTACAAAACCAAATCATTAACTTTAAAACTAGACTCATATTATAAAACAGCCTCGTAGGATCGAAACTTACATAACATTAATGTGCATGGCACCAAACTCATTCATATATATCTAAACTGTCAGCTGTATACAAAAGCTTTCTGATATCAATGGTTTAAAATGAATTTGAGCGAGTGAAGATTGTGGATCTAGACGAAGACCACCTTTCTCCGAATATTGTGGACTGTCGCTACAGAATCAAACAACTGTAACAGATAAGAGAAATCAGATTATTTGAGAAGTTTCAATAGCAGCAACATCTAAAATGGATAGTAAATCGAATTTTTTCTATTCGATTTACATGTGCTATCTATTTTAGATGTCCACAAGCTCCTTGACGTAATCAGTTTAACATTCTACACTACTTCAGACAAAATGTTGGGAAGGAAACCCCCATCAATACTGGAAAGAGTAATAACAGCCACTGGACTTGAGGAAGGTATTTTTCTGAAAAATTGTTTTAATGGAAAGATTTTATAAATTTCAACCTACAGCAACACTCTCTGCTCGGTCAATGAATGTTTCCTTATAAGGAAAAGGATAATATTGCTATTAGCATTATACAGACACATACACACACATATATATATGCGTGTGCGTGTCACTGTATATATATATATATATATATATATATATATATATATATATATATGTGTGTGTGTGTGTGTGTGTGTGTGTGTGTGTGTGTGTGTGTGTGTGTGTCCCGGAAAGGGATATATTTGAACAGAAATAACTAAGTGGTTTTGGCTACAATAACCAAGTAGAATCCGGTAGCAGTAATCGATTGGTACGCGTCATAGTCGCAGGTAAGAAGTGTAGATCAATGACGTAGTCCAATGGGCGTCGTTTTAGACTTAGCTTTCAGACTAAGGCTTTCGACTCACCTACACGTCCGTCGGTATTTATGACGGACACCAGCCAATCATATTCCAGTGAGGGGGAACACAGGTTTATATTCCATTATTCCATTATATATATATATATATATATATATATATATATATATATATATATATATATATATACCTTTGTAGTATCAAAAGTATTACACTCACATACACAAGATAGATAGATAGATAGATAGATAGATAGATAGATATCGTGCGGATATAGGAATTAACATATGTTGGCTGTTATTTTCGCGCCTTATTATGATCCTTTGACTCAGGCCAAGCTCCATCCAGTGTTTATTCCAACATTCACACTGTCTATATAAACGCTCTGTCTCCGATTTTGAGCACTATTCACCAATAAATATAGTAAATTGTAAACAATATATATATATATATATATATATAGAGAGAGAGAATGATAGAGATATATTGGAAGAGTGAGGGATAGAGAATAAGACGGAGATAGAAAGGAAGTAATAAACATAGAAAGAAAGAGAGAGAAATATTGAGAGAGAAAGAAAGAAAGAGAAAGTTAATGAAAATGTTGCAACCAAGTTACCGGAGAATGCTTTAACTTATATTCTATATTCGTATGGACATATACAATTACGTGCATTTAATAACACACAAGTACATACAAATAATTCTCTACGCCTTCATATCGAAGCAGATATCAGAAAAAAATGTATAAATCCATCCATGTTATTGCTACTAGCCTTTATCAAGATAGACAATGCATGTAAATGTCTGGTAATTATGGATAAATTATGTCCCAACACATATTATTGCCAATCCACACAGGCACACAATATAATTTTAGTTTTTATTAATCTGATCAACGCTCGGGTAAGCATCTTTATTTTTCTCTTACATTTTTTACGGTGGTTTAATTTTTTAATAAAATATAAAGAGTACAATACTTCATTGATTATCTGTACCGTGATTTTCCGTAATTCGATTATTGATTCTTGAAATGAAGAGAAAATTTGAATTCACCCGAACCAAACCAATTCTAATATTTAATCTCAGACAAGGAAAATATTGAAGAAGGGGAAGATGATAATGGTCTATGTTGAAGTTTAACAGATCCAATGCCGAATTCCTCACACCAAAGAAATGCTTATTGTTACGAGCCGGTGTATGTATGTATTCAGAGATAAACAAGTGTGTCTCCTGAAATGCCTACAACCAAGTTGGGATATGAGTCCAAGTAAAAAAAAAGTAAAGAAACAACAAGTACCAATATATAAACAAACAAATGATAATGTATTAACAATAAAGAGTTACATAAAGAATAGAATATTGTTGTATGTTACTGGACAATGAAGATGAATGAAGAAAACATTTAAGCTAGTGAATTGTTTGCGTATGTCTAGTGTGGTGTAGGAGAAAGTCCAAGAAAAAAATGAAGGGAAAGGTGCGCACGTATGTGTGAGTGTGTGTGTATATTGTTCATGCGTTTCCCAAAAAGAGAACGCGTTCTTCCGCGAGAGACATATTGACGTGTAAGCGGAAAAAGTGAGAAGAAGAGGGCGACAAAAGGTATCGCTGAGTATTTATAGTCCAGAAAGCGTCCCCTAATAGCGGATTCGAAAATTAAGAGGAGGCAATCCAACACTTATGTTTAAGTTGACAAAGCTTTCAACCACTTGTTGCCTCATTCTGGGTATGACAATAAGCTAAATGCGGCAGCAAGGCCTCTGATCGGGAGGTTTTGAGGTTCGTGGAACCACCGCTTGACTGCCGTTGTTCCCAAGTCCACCCTAACCCGCAGTGGTAGCACCTATTAGGGTCCTAACTATGGGTAAATAGTTGGCACCCAAACTGGGGTCAAAACACTATGATAGTATAGAAATAGATTTTCATTGTAACAAATACCAGGAATACATTTTAGAAGGAAAATAATTACAAGTAATACATTTGACTCAGGACAAAAAACCTCTTTACAGAAACATGGCAATGAAATCTGATCTCTAAACTGATTTCTTACAAAGAATGCATATTCTATTCATACGAACCTATCCTAAAAAATCTTATAGTCTATAAAAAAGCACAAATGGCTAATATGAACTGGTAAAAAATGATCATTTTTCAGTCATTTTCATCCAATTCAATAGGCATCCGAAATTTAGGCCAGCTAATATACAAACCACGAAATGGGAATAAAATTGAGGCCTGTAAGATTTACACAAGAAATAATGTCTCTTATTCTCATCTGTGGATACGATAATATTCATCTTCTTAAATGACTAAAGTAGTAGTTATTTTCCAAGCGTAGCTTAGATGTGGCATAAGGCCGAAAGTATGGGGCACCCAGTGAGGATCGAACTCACTACTCATTCGTAATTGTTCCAGCGAGACAAAGCTTGCTAACCATTACACCGCCTCGAGGTGCCCTAACGATTTTCCGAGCGTAGCTTAGATGTGGCACAAGGCCGAAATTAAGGGGCACCCAGTGAGGATTGAACTCACTACTCAGTCGTAATTGTTCTAGCGAGACAAGCTTGCTAACCATTACACCACTCCGAGGCTTAGATTTTCCAAACGTAGCTTAGATGTGGCACCAGGCCGAAAGCATGGGGCATCCAGTGAGGATCGAACTCACTTTTCAGTAGTAACTGACCTAGCAAGACAAGCTTGCTAACCATTACACCACGCCGAGGTCCCAAAGTGATTTTCCAAACGTAGCTTGGATGTGGCAGGCCGAAAATGGGGCATCCAGTGAGGATCGAAACTTTTGTGACCTAGCAAGACAAAAGGGCTAACCCAGTGAGGATCGAACTCACTACTCATTCGTAATTGTTCTAGCGAGACAAGCTTGCTAACCATTACACCAACTCGAGGTGCCCAAAATGATTTTCCAAGCATTGCTTAGATGTGGAACAAGGCCGAAAGTATGGAGCACCCAGTGAGAAACGAACTCACTACTCAGTCGTAAATGTTTTGGCGAGACAAGCTTGCTAACCGTTACACCACGTCGAGGTGCCCAAATGACTAAAGTAGTATTCTGACCTAGAGAGGCATATTCTTATCTTGTCCATTTTATACCCGAGGGTATAAAAATCGTTTAGCCGAAATTATACCCCGAATATAAAACCGTCTAACTTAAAATCATCCTGTTATAATCTGGTCTGTTACACTGGATGATTGATAATGTTGTTCCAACCTCGAAATCAAATTTGGCTCCAGGGTCCTCATTTTTATGAAGAGTTTGTCAGGAGCAGAGTATGTGAAATCGAATTTTGAAAAGAAATTAATTAAATGAGACAAACCAAAAATTGTTAAGACGATTTCTTCAAAACACAATGCAATTTGTAAAAAAATAAATTAAAGTAAATGAACAATAATTTTTTTAAAGTTTTTTTAAATTATCAAAATTATAGTCGTGCCTAAAACTACCGGTGCTGCTCATCCTTTGAAAACATTATCTTACTTTTTGATAATTTTTTTTAAATTCAGAAGCTGTCCGAAATTATGAGAAGATCATTACATTTTATACCTAAAGGTATAAAATAGACAAGTCTAACTGATACCGTCAAGGCGAGTTTATAACCTTTTTTCCTATTCTTATAAACAACTGTTTTTTTTTATTAACTAGAATGTTAAGGCTACAGTCTATAAACTTGTAATAATGGCTGATATAAGCTAATTCAATAGTCATCAACTATTCATGTTTATAAAAACGAACTAATCTTCTTAATTTAATCCAGCTGTTGGATAAATGTAAGCAGAAAGTTTTTTAGTATACAAACCTCATAATAAATGAACCTGTGGCCTGTAGACTGCACACATAAAACAACAATGGCTGCACACAAAAATGACCACGCTTCAAATGTTTGGGCGAAAATCAACAGATATCCTGAAGTTAGTTTTATTAATGTATAAACAAGGAAATCGAGATAAAATTGAGGTCTGCAGGATGAACCAAAGAAATGAATTCATCCTGGTATTGTTTAAGCAGAGCAAATCACAAAGTATAAATGGCTTAAGGTCTAAAACACCATGGCCAGTTTGCACTTTCTATTTATCTATTCATACCAACAACTGTTTTTCTTAAACAGAATGTTATATGATGACTCGAGTATACAGACGAGTAATAATGGCCGAAAACAGTTCAATAGTAATCGGGAATTGGATGATTAAAATCAATAGGCCTCCAGAACTAATGTAAGGAATTGGAATAAAATAGGGTGCTGCAGAACGCACATAGAAATCTCTGCGAATGTGTGACACTACATGAGCCACCATCATATCTTCGACTATCATACAATAATATATATCTTTTTATATGGGAAAAGTAGGTTTAAAAACTGCCATTGTTGAAGTATATATATAGTTACATAAAACTGACTAGCTTAAAATAAACCCAGTTTTATATATATATATATATATATATATATATATATATATATATAATTTCCTAGAGTAGTTGCCATCCAAGGCTATAGAACCCAGTCTGTCCTGTTTTTTACTCATGGCTGGAAAGAAGAGGATGTATACCTTTCCCCAGGACTTAAGTAAATGGGATTCGAACAGGGCTCTCTGATTTCTCAATCTCACCCGCTATCCACTACTCCACCTTTTAATATATAATATATATATATATATATATATATATATATATATATATATATATATATATATATATATATATATATATATATATTCTTTTAAACATCTTTCGTTAAATATGTCAGACAAGGAAGTTTTTATTTAGTTTTTCAGCCCTTTTACCTCTTCCTGTTTGGTTGCAATACAAACATTTTCCATAATATCCCTTTGTCCAAAGTGCTTTCAGCCACTTCAGTCATTTTCAAGCAGGGGTAGGTGTTATTAATTTTCCTTCATTTAAGTTGTATTTTATTTTTATTTTGTTTTGAATAGTAGCGTTTATTCCGAACTTTCGCGTGTTGAGGAGCTGGAATTCGAGCGTCTTACTATTTATTTATTTATTTATTAACATTTAAAACTCCATTCCCACTGTTAAATAAGGTGAGCTTGATAGTGGGAAAGAGGTGTTTAATATACAGGGCCTCTTTTATAGCGAGTTGTTTCCGATTTGTTTGTGATTTATATAGAATTTTAGCGTTTTCGACCTTAATTTTTCTTAAGCTTTATTGTAAATTGTGGGTAGATAGATGTTTTTTATATAATTTATTTGAGTAAATGCCCTGTTGTTAATTAAACAGTATTAATTATATTTACTGGCCTGAATGTTCGAATAATTTCG